CTCTTGTTGGGAGATAGGGAATGCCCATTAGTTGCGTCTGCCGATAATAGCACATCAGCCGGCACTCTGCTATTGGGGGGAGCAGAGCGCAGGCGGTGCAGAGAGCTGAGACGCTGGGCGCAGAATGGTACACTAGAGAAGAGACGCACACTCAGAAACAGGCAGAGAGAGAGAGCGCACGTGAAGGYAGAGCGCATCAGCCCATGTAGAGAAGAGGAGGACTGAGAAGGAGCAGGGCAGTGGGAAGAGGAGAGGAAAAGAGGGAGTGGGTGGGGAGAGTTACCCGGTCAGCAAGAGATCGTGGAGCAACTGAGACGCACTGAGGTCTCACTCCCGCTGGAACACAGGCGCATCAATAAGAAGCGCAGGTGGAGAGTGATATCGCAGGAGAGAGTGCGGGAACTTCTTCCTAGAAGCACTGTCCTGTCAAAAGGCGAGGGTAATGCTCCTCGCTGGACCCTCCGGCACAGCTTACTTCAGGATTATCCCAGCAAGGCAGCAGCACTAAGCAGAGGGCACTTACTGTAAACCTGCTAGAAGTGCCTGTGCATCTCAGTTCAACTCACTCCTGTGCAAAGGACTTTAAAAAAAAAGTGGATGCAGTTGCAAAGCTTGGTGCCTTTTTTCTTTGTTTGAAAGTGTGAAGTGGTGGAGATTCGGAGGGCAAGTTGCTCCGTCCTGTTATCTCTGAGACTATGTTAGACTGTGCGTCAAAGCTCCCCTCATCAGCAGCTGCAGCCCTAGAGCATGGAGAAGTCCAGCAGTGAGGAGTCAGCCATTCACCGTAGCCCATCCGTAGACAGCCGCGATTCTGATTTTCCTCAAGCCTCCACGTCTGGCCGCCCGTTCGGCGGCCGCGGCTTCACTGCCGGCGCTTTCTACGGCTCAACGGGGCCACGCAAAAACGCACAGCAGGGACAAGCTGGAGCGGCAGCTGATGCCAGCGGGGGAGACAAGACTAACAACAAATACAGCTCACCCAAAGGCAGCAAATACGTGGTCTTTTACCTGGATCTATCCTTTGTGTTCCTTTTAGAATTCAAGAAGTGCAACATGGCGAGAGGCTGCTTGTGCTGCTTGAAATATATGATGTTCATCTTCAACCTTATCTTCTGGGTAAGTGGCTCATTTTTTTAAAATGTTTGTCACTGCATACTTGCTCCCATTGATCCTGTTGCTGTTTTTGTTGTTTAAATCCAACGATTATGCAGACAAAGTGGTTTGGTACATTTACAAATGTAAAGGCTCAGTGAGTGATAAATGTTTTAAAATGTTAATTAYGCAACGTTACTTTATGACAAAAATGATGGCTGTCAGGMCAGTCATGCGTTTCTAATTACATCAGGGTGTTTATGCTTGCTCTGTTCTGTGCAAGTTGCTATTCTTGGATGCAATGACAGAGTCYGTGGCAATCCACCAGGTCTCCTTTTGTATTATGCGTTATGGTGGGGGTTCATTAGGGTCACTCTTGATGCTTATGATTTATAGTGGACTTACAGCTGAAATGCATGTTCTGGTTTGCAAGTGATAGTGTTTCCCCGGGGTGGGGGGGGTGTTAGAGCATAGATGGTCAGCTATCGTTTCAAAGAGACTGAATTTTGTTTCACTTTATCATCAACTCTTTGATAAATTATGAACTCATTTGCTTTTGATGAAACTAAAATCAGAGGAAAATCCACAGATTTTAAAGCTGTTTTCAAACTGTAACCAATACAACTAAAGATACATTGTTGCTTTGTAAATATAATGCTTACAGTAATGACAGCCATAAATGTCAGCTTGTGAATCACTCATTCATGAAAGAAACGTCAGTGCATGGCTGACTCTGCTTTGTGTTTTCATGCATGGGCATTTATTGTAACAATGGTTATCATTTGAAAGATTACAGAATGGATTAAAGGGCTTATAGGTTATGAGGGTAAGTCTTTTGTGTGAACGCAGTGATGTGTGAAGCGTAAAAACATCCCAACACTTGAGTCTCCATCAAACCCACAGCGTCACTGGACTGGGAGCTCTGTTAACTGGGGCACAGTGGTGGCATTAGTTTCAGCCCAGCTCTGAACAGGCCAGCAATACAAAAACACACATATATCCGCCCCCCAGCCCCCCAAACAATRGTAAATCCGCCCAGATGCCCACCATTTCTGTGAAAACTGAAATCTCCAGGGCTGGCTTTGTTCGTCACTGAAGCTCTGGACCTTTTTGCTTCTGAAGGATGATGTCTTGGTTTCATACTCCCATTAAATCCAGTCCACAGAGGCAGAGACGGAAATGATTGGCAAATGGCTCAGGGTCTACATGGTGTGCTTCAGTTTATGTCAATGTTTATTTAAGAGAATGAAAAGGTCATAAAATCTTTGTTCATGATGGATTCATTAATGAAGTTATTGACTTGGSTTGGTTTTCATCTCAGTCAGTAGAATCCAAGGAAGTGGTCTTGCCTCAACATGGGTACTGTTTGCATTAGAAATGGGATGGCTACGCAGTTAAGTGATTGGTCAGCAGTTGTTCATTATTAATACATTTAATAAAAAACAAAATTGTTGAAATGCAACATTGCTGTAYTGTAAGTTTGGAATTAAATAAGTAATTCTTGTATTTTTGCTAATCAAAAACTYATAAAAAGCAGGCTGGTAACATGGCCAATATTTGGATAGTTCACTTTTTCCAAACTTGCAAGATTTTTGTGACACTGAATGGAAGATAAAATCATTTCATTGTAACTCTTTCTTGCAGAAACAAAACAAATTTGTCTTCACATACACATTTACTAATTTATCCGTAGTTTAAAAGTTGCTCAAACTTAAATTTGWCCCTGAAAGTTTATGTTTCTCGTGATGATGACTCCAACACATAGTTTGAACCTGTACAACACAGGAACACCATCAGGTACCTTTATTTTATCTTGGTCTGCTTAAAAGCCTTAGAGCAACCAAGTCAATTTTTAGCCAGAGTTACAAGGTCATTAATATCCACTTTTCTTTAAGAGCCAGCCACAAGAGATTTGTGGGAAGGCTTTTACTTCCCAAGCGCTTTCCAGGCTCAATATGTGCTTAACCCTTTTCAGTAGTGAAACTCTGCTGCTAATAACTATCCTGCACACCACTAATAAGGAAGTGGAAAAGAAGCTATGAATTTGAGGGTTCGTGACCTCCGATGTACATGGTTCTGAACTTCTTGGTCCTAAATGAAATGCTTCAAGGCTGCCCTGAGAGCATCMCTTATTGCGTGTGTTATTTTCTGCTGTGCATTCGCTGAAATATTACGCAGGTAATGTTTCCCCAAAAAGTTCTCAGCGTTCAGATTTTCGTCTATTCCCACAGATTCATGCTCTTGTTTTCTTCCTYACCCTAACTCATTGTAACGACAGTTTAACTAGTGGTTCATAAAACGAGTGGAGTAATGTGATGAGTCGGTCTATCAACATGTGACAGCTTGCAACTCATTCGGGACCTTTGGAACTCCAGATTTTAGGGCAGCGGCCTACCTATTTAAAGGTTAGTGGAGCTAAGAATAATGGGGTGACTCATCAGTGAGGGGTCAGGATAGGGTGCCTGAGCACTCCGYGGCTGAGCAATCGGGGTGAGAGGTATGTTGTACCGTGACACTCCTGGGACTACGCTTTGATACTCCAAAACTCACAAGGTTACTGAAGCTGGGAGGAAGGTTTGACCCTTTTACTTCTGTCGTCTCATCTCAAGCCTGCCGAAGGAATGGTGTGCTGTTGCAGTAACCGGATACRAAGTACAGCAGGGGCCGCGTCTATCGGACTGTGTGCACATACACAAACACACTGACTGTGGATACGCACAGATATCAGCCATCCTCCGAAGTGCGTCCATCACCCMCTCATCATCAGCTGTGTACTGTGGTAACTTAAAGCTCAAGGTAAACCATGGCAGGCACTTTAGGCATTTCTACGCATACGCTCATTCTTAACCCCCACGGCAGTTGTTCGTGACCATCTGGCTCCTCTTTCTTATATGGGATTAGAAGAGTCTGAGCTGTAGGGGGGGAGTTTCCGGCAGATTAGAGCAGTATTGGGTTGTGCAGTTAAGGATTGAGACCGCAGCTCTTTAGGACAGCTCTATGTTAAAGCCAGCATCATCAAAGCAAATGCCCTTTGAGGTGTGACAAAGAATGTGCTTTGGTCAGGAAGAGAATCTGTTGTGTTTGCTTTCTTTAAACACACTTTCAAAAAGTGTCTGTTGGATGAGCCTGATGGGGCACTTGATGTTAAATCCTTTTGGTGTCAGCCTTGAGAGCGTATCAGTTCTGGTGTTCTTGCTGGGAGCAAGGATTTTCTCTTCTTATTTTATAGTAAATTCTTGGTATGCACAGCATCCACTATCAAGCCCTCCGGTTCAATATTCAATTGTCCTTTGCTCCAAGTACTTATTTTGTCCAGTGGCACTGTGTACTTTTAGAAGCAAGAGTTTAAAATGGGGGGCAAAAAAATACAGTTATTTCTTCTGCAGTTTACAGGCAACATCACASACAGACTTGTTTTCTTTGTTAAAGATACAGAAGCTTAATAAGCCAATCCCAGCTGTGTCATTATGGTGRCGTATCAAAAGCTAAATTCTTATTTGATATTCATATTGAAAGGCAAAAGTGTCAGTTCAGCAGTCTTATTCTAATACAAGAAGGGTAGTATCAAAGCTCCTCCTTTGTTGCAGAAGAGAAAACCAAGTGTGTTTAGCATTCATGAATTCCTGTGCTTACTTCAGGGATTGCTGCTGGATTTTTAAACCATTTGGTCCAAGACGGCAAACGACAAGGCTTCCTATCAGTTTATTCACAAAATTGGACATTTATTGTTTCAAATGTGCCCATGCTTGGTTGCTACCAGAGGTGATTGACAGAACAAAATGGGTATTAATGTGTGCACAAGTGTTTTGTCTTAAGGAACATCATTAAAATTTTTAAAACAAGCCGTTCCTTTGCTTCCACCTTTGCCTGGAACGCTGTGGGGATGCAGTCCAAGGTGCTGAAGTAATTTGCCTTTTTCATTCTCCATGTTGGCACATGAAAGCCTCAGTAATCTTTATTAGTTCAAGAAACCATGTTAAAGTTATGAACTGTTCATTTTCTTTCTTTCTTTCTTTTTGATAACAAAAAGCGCAGCTAAGCGCCATCAGTCACTGTCAGGTAAAACAAGGGTTTGAGCACACAAATGAGTGTTCAATGCATGCATGATGAAACAAGCTCTATATATGTCATAGTGTTGCATATATTGTGTGAAATCATTTTAACTTGTTTCAGTTCTCAAACAAGTTGGAAATGGCAAAATACATTGTCTTAACTATTATGGCCAGAAAAATGATTACCTCAGGCTATCACACAAATGCTGAGTCAGTTTGATCACACATCATGCAAAGAATCATTCATATCATTATAACATGCCTGAATATGACTCATCATATCCACATGCCTTTTAATCAAGCCTTGAATTTAGTGGTTTCTGTTAAATTGCTGAGCTTTGATTCAGATTGGGCTGATCTGCTTGGTAAATATCTCCATATGCCTTCTTTTGTCCAGTGGCTCATTTGGGAAATTCTGCTAATTTACATGTCTCTCTCCGGCTGCTTCGATTTCCAGGCCGTGTTGTGTATTGCCTCTGAGCTCATTAGCTCGTGCTGCAGATCAGTTGGTATATGGAGATGCCGGGTTTCACTCTTGGGGATCGAGGTAATAGACCAGATGAACCGAAGTTGCATTTTACACTTGAATGCAGTGGTGGTGCTTTTTTTATATACATTAGGATTTTCAGCCATCTCTGATCAATGTTGGGATAAACTGTTCTTCAATACTTCATCATTCAGTTGCTATTTTTTGTTAAAGAATGGTCACGATGCTAAGTCATGAGAAATTAAAACTGCATTGTTTTATTACAGTGATAATTTATTAGAGAGGTAATTTAGAGCAAAATGACTGAGCTTTTAATTCAAATCACAGATGCAAGCATATAAGCTTTTTTTAGTCATCAATTTTGTTGCTTTTTTGGTATTCAGTACTCACGTGTATCTAACAGTAAAGAAAAAAATACTTTATGTCTTACTGTATCTGCAGACTTAGAATTAGACGTACATCAGGGGCAGAGCCAGGGGGTGGCC